TTTTTTTCTTGGCATGCTATAAAGCAGTTTAAATTGTTCATAACGTTTAAAAGTTATTTCATAGAACAAATCAGTCAAGTTTTGGTAAACTTTTTGAGTTTCTAATAAGCAAGATATGAAACTTTGCAATATTTCAATTTATTTTATAAAGGGACTCGGATGATGAAAAATTCAAGTCTTTATAATGAATACCTTCAAGAAATGGATATTTGAAAAAATTCAAGCTCTTTCAAGGAGCAAACAGTTCGCAAAAAATTTCCTTTAACAAGATATTCACGCATTTCAATCAATGAAATTTTACAAAAAAAAATAAATAATGCCATGAAGCGAAATGGACGGTGAAAAGTTTAAGTTTCTGTAAGCAAGCTGTTCTTGCTACGATAATTCAAGTTATTTTAAGCTATTTCATGTTATTTTATGAGATATTTCAAGTTATTTCATGAAGCAAATCGGATGCCAAGAAAACCTATTTTTTTTTATGCCAGTCAAGCTATAGAAAATTGAAACATTCAATTTAATGCTTAGAACGAAAAGTTTTTTTTTTGTAAAAATTAAGGTTTTTCGATGCAAAATTTTAAGCTAAAAATGGTTTAAAATATTTCAAATCATTCATAAAACTGAAGAACTTGGAAACATTTCAAAATGATTCATAGAAAAAATTCATGAATCAGTTCGCGATTTGTTTTAGTTTTTCTTAGAAAATTTTTCAAATGACGACGTTTTCAAATGTCTCAATTTCTGTTTCAAAGTTCGAGAAAAAAATCAACCTTTTCTTAAGTAAGCTATTAAAGCCATGAAACGTTGAAATAAATCAAACTAGCAAGTTTTTATTGAACAAATCAATTTGCGAAAAAAAGTGAAGTTTTTCTAGAGAAGCTTTTAGGGCAAGGAAATTTTGAAAAAATTCATGTTGTTTCATAGAGCGAATCAGTTGGCAAAAAAGTCTTTTCTCTTAGTAAGCTATTCAAGCTATGAAACTTTAAAAATATTCCGGTTGTTTCATAGAGCGAATTAGTAGGCAAAAACTTAAAGTTTTTCTTAGTAAGCTACTCATGCAATGAAACGTTAAAACTATTCCGGTTGTTTCAGAGAACAAATCAGTTGGCAAAAAATTAAAATGTTTCTTAGTGAGCTGTTCTAGCGGCAAAGCTTTGAAATGTTCCAAGTTACTTAACAGAGCGAACTGGTTTGCAAGCAATTCAAGCTAAGAAACTTCGACATTTCAAAAGTATTCATGAAGCGAATCGGTTGACGCCATTCAAGCGACAAAAAAAAGTAAAATGAAACGGTTTGCAAAAAAATTCGAGCAAGCAATTCAAATTATGGCATTTAACAAAATTCAAATTTTTTCATGAAGGGCAGCGGATGGCGGAAAAAAATGTAGTGAAGCCATTTCAGCGTTGGAACTTTGAAAAACTTCAAGTTATTCATAGACCAAAGCAGTGTGCGAAAACTTAAAATGTTTCCTGTTGAGCGAAGAACTTCGAATATTCCATTTTTAGGTTTTGCGAAAGCTTGCAATTTTGCTATGCAAGCTATTCAAGCATTGGAATTTGAAATTTTGCTGGTTATTCCATAACTTTGGAATAATTCAAGTTGTTTCATTAAACGAAACCAAAAGCGAATTAAGTGTTTCTAAGAGAGCTATTTTAGCTATGAAACTTTGACATATTTAAAAGTATTTTATGAGGCAAATCGGATGCCAAAAATTCGTTCTTTATGTCAGTCAAGCAATAAAACATTAAAATATTCCAAGTTATTGCTTCAGCGAAAAAAATTTGCTAAAAAATTAGGGTTTTTCCTATGCAAGATATTTGAACTAAAAAGTTTGAAATATTAACTTTCCTTTTTTTTCTTGAGCAAGCTATTGAATTTTCAAAATTTTCAAACAAGTGAGATCTTTTTGTACACCGATCTGTTTCTTAAAAAAATCAAACTGTTTCTGAGCAATTTATTCAAGCTATGAACTGGATGAAATGGCTATAACTGAAATTTCCTTCGAAACCACTCAATCGAAGGAAGTTCGAAAAAGTCAGATTGTTCTTCTTGAATATAAACTTCTGCAAAACGTTCAATTTTCTATGCAAGCTATTCAACATATGTAACTTTGAAACATTTTGGGTTATTTCATGAAGAGACTCGGATGGCGGAAACTTAAAGCTTTGTTTTGTGCAAACCATTGAAGCATTTCAACTAAGCCAAGCAATTCAATGAAGCATTTTCATTAGGCCAAGCAAATAGCAAAAACTTCACGTTTTACCTTTGAAATTATTCAAGCAATAAAGTTTTGAAGTATTTCAAATTGTTTCTTAGACCAAATTGGTTCGCTGAACGTTCATTTTATTTGAGCAAGCTATTCAAGTTGTAAAAGTTGAAAAAATTGAGATTTTTTTAGTTCATTGATTTGACTTGAGTTATTTCAACCTACATAACGAAACGGAGAGAATGGCAAAAAAATGAATTTTTTCTATGGAAGCCATTCAAGCGAAGGAAGCTTGAAATTATCACGTTGTTTTTGACCATTGGTTTCCGAAAACAATTTGCGATGGTTCCGAAAGCAAAAAACCACACCGAGCATAAATATTCCGTTTTCTTCGAAACTGGAACAATTATGGGCTCTTTTTTCCTTTTCCCCCACGTCACTCAAACATGAATTTTAAGGTCTAACGCGCGGTCTTACAAGGTTAATTATTGTGACCAAATATGTTTGTCATGGCCTAATTAGTCTACATGCCAATTTTTATGACAATCGGACAAAGTTAGCAGTAACTTCAAATATAAAAATTGCAGGTGAGGGGGGGAGGAAAAAGAGCCCAATCCTGGTATATAAGCTTCCTTGAACCAATTTGGAACGATTTATAAGACGGATTAAATCTCGCTTACGCGTTACTAGCGGGAAATATAACGCGCGTTAATTGTCCCAAATTGGCCAAAATGGCAATCTTTAAAGCCCCATAACTTTACGAAAAATGATCACAGATGAAATATTGTTTCAATTTCTTTCAAATGATATATAAAAAAATTCTGTCAAAAATGGCTAGTTAAAAAGTCGAAATTTGTCTGAAGAAAAAAAAACCCACCCGACCACAAATATTCCGTTACTTTCGTTACGAAAGTCGGAACAACATGACTACTCGTGTATCAGGGTAAAGCTTTGAGTGTTCGGACTGCCCCTAATCCATATCGATAAGTTTTCGGGAAAAAAAATGAAAAAAATTTTTTTGGACAATATCAAAGATCAAGCTTGAAAATTCAAGTTACGAGATTAATACGACTGATTAGCTTAGCTCGCTCTAAGGGGGAACAGCATTGTTTTGCGGAATAAATTGTCACGCATTGCATAAATGTATCTTTTTACGTTTGCAGCATTATAAATAAAATATTTAAAGCGCGGATAACTTAGTCCAGAGCTTGGCCGAATTCTTTGGCAATTTTCAAACTCCTAGAGCGTTGCAAAAAATGATCGGATCTGAATGATCTTATTGAGTTTGATTTCAAGTAGTCAATATCTTCAACGGAGCAAAGAACATTGTTATATAAAATTATTATTTCGATTACTAAATTAAAAATATCACCCCAAGCTTAAATACTTTGTGAAAAACAATAAATTCGGAACCTTCGAAAATCGGAACAATAATTTCAGGCTGTAAATCATCACGTTTCTTAATGAAATTAACCATGGCAATCAAATAGACCAAATTCAATTGCGGTGAGCTATTTAGTCATATTCATTCAATCCACGACTCAAATTTTAACAGTTAATTGATATCGGTAGTTCAAAATAAGATTAATGCGTACGCGGCAAAATAAATCACTCCAAATTGAACTGGAGCATGCATTTTGCATTTATTCCTACTTATGAAATTTAGATGGCGTGTGTTAAAAAAATAAAACAAAAATGAACAAACAAAAGAACTTTTTTTTAGCGATTTTCAACAATTTTTTTGAACCAAAACTTTTTAATTGACGTTAGCCATTCAGGATTTTTTCTTTGGCATGAACACTCTTCTTATATTGTTTTTTCATGACGAGACCAAACTGTGCACTGGATAGACGCACAATTTTGTGTCTGTATGTGCCTGGATTTCAGAAACAAGTCTTTAAATATGTTGAATTTTGTCGAAACGATCAAAGAGGATGATAGATCAAAAGAAGAACAAAGGGAGCATTTTTTCTCGCCCTCTTTTGTATGGTTATTATGTTGCTGCGATTATTGGAAATTAATTTAATTGAAAAATTGTTTTTGATATGGTATATTTCCTTGCGAGCCAATTGATGCTTTGCTGGTATTGTTAAAACGGATCTACTTAACAATTACCCCCCCCCTTTTAAGAAAGGGGGCAATTGTTAAGTAGATAAACATAACGCATTTTCGACCAATCAGATTGGAGTTAAATTGGAAGTCTCAATACAAAGCACTAGCGCTACTTTACTGCTTTTATTAATAGGGGGGCAATTCTTAAGTAGGTACTAAAAGGAGGACAATTGTTAAGTAGATCCGTTAAAACTAAAAACAATTATTGAAACTTGATATGAAAAATTTGAATTTTCAAAATAATTGCTCTAAATTTTACTAAACAGAATGTCAGATTTAACAATATATTGTATGCAAGAAAAAATATTTAATAAAAATCGAACGTTTTCATGGCAGCCTTAAATTGAGTGAACATCCCCGCTTTTAATCGACACATTTAAATTATGAAACAAGTTACTGTTGCCATAAGATCTACTTAACAATTACCCCCCCCCCCCCCCACTTTAAGAAAGGGGGCAATTGTTAAGAAGATTAATAAAACGCATTTTCGACCAACCAGATTGGAGCAAAATTAGAAGTCTCAATACAAAGCTCTAGCGCTAATTTACTACTTTTATTAATAGGGGTGGCAACTCTTAAGTAGGTACTAAAAGGAGGACAATTGTTAAGTAGATCCGTTAAAATTTAAAACAATTATTGAAACTTGATATGAAAAATTTGAATTTTCAAAATAATTGCTCTAAATTTTACAAAACAGAATGTCAGATTTAACAATATATTGTATGCAAGAAAAAATATCTAATAAAATTGAACGTTTTCATGGCAGCCTTAAATTGAGTGAACATTTAAATTATGAAACAAGTTACTGTTGCCATAATAACTTATGAAAAAAATTACTGTTGCCACAACGATTAATGCTTAAGTCAAGACGTAATTTAGGAAGAGGGTAGTTGAGAAGACCCTACGACGAGCTGGGTTAATTAATGATTTAGTAATTTTGTTTTTGTTTTGGTTTTTGTTTTTGTTTTTGTTGTTGTTTTGGTGTGTCCTTATGACTATGTGTCTGTGTGTGTGGTTGAGGAGGTGATGTTGAGTGACTTGTTCAACTGGTTGGCCATATGCACAGCTGCATTGTGTCCCCCCTGTTTGGCGTTTGAGATTAGGTGGTAAGTGCAGAAGAAAGTCACGGCCATGAATGCAATCACCAGCACCCGGTCAATCACCTATGACAGAAAACTAACCTTTTAATAGCAGCTATTTGAGGGAACACCCCCCTCTAAGAGACAAAACTGACTTTTGAGTAAAACAAGAGGATCTGAAAATTATCACGCAAAACATTTAAGTTCTCTCAAATCATGTCTTTGAGCAATAATACGATCTACTGTCTTTGTCAAAAAATGTAAAAATGTCTGTTTCTAAACTATCTGTAAACTTTGAAACAAGTTATATATATTCGTGAAATTTAGTGTTCTTTTTTTGATTGGATAAAATAAACTTTTTAAAATTATGATAAGTCACATTATGATTTTGCTGCCTTGGGTGTGAACAAACAACAACAAAAAACTCAAGGATATCCACAGAAAGTTCAGAAAGTTCTCACAGAAAGTTCTTAGCACAGAAAGTTCTGACTTCAACAAAAACATATTTTTTTATTGCACATTGTTATGTTTTTTGCGCGTTCTGCTGTCAGCGGACCTGAACGAAAGCCTAGAAAAAATGTACTTTCGATAGTAAGAGTAGTGTATGCTATTCTGACTACGGTTTTCATCAAAAAGTTATTCAAAAAACAAAAATAAAATAGAAAAAAAGAAAGAAGCTTTATGAGGGGGAAGCGGTTGCCGAAAAAACGCGATTTTTTGGTCAAAATTTTCCAAAAAGTGCTCAAAAACGCCTTTTTTGTTTGGCTAAGACAGATTCTGTTTAGTGCTTTGGGAGATCTCGGAAAATCAATACAGTCGACCAAAAAAAAGTCGACAAAATTTTCGAAAATTTCTTGAAAATCCCCCCCCCCCCCCCCCTCCTCGAGAAAATCCCAGATCCGCCCATGTTTTTACGCCTTTTTTGCATTTTATAAGCCTGCTCGCTCATTTTATATGCTCAAAAATAGACCATTTTTTCTCTAAAACCCGGAGGTTTTTTGGAAAATTTTACTAGGGTTGTTCGACTGCAAGGACCTTTATATGATATATCACTCGGCCGCTTCCGACGAATGTTTTTGGCACCTGATTTTTCGTGGAAAACAAAAAATAGAAAAACTAGAAGGGTCGGAACAATAAGGTGCTCACTCCTACTATAAGAAGAATTTTTTGGATACTGATCACATTTTTTTAGAGATTCTTTTCTTTAATCAATTTATTTTCTTTCTTTAAGTGATTTTTTCTTGTGAAACTGCAACAAAGTCTGCGAAATTCCGACAAACCGAAAGTGCTCGGTTTATCTTTTAGAATCAAGCAACACAGCACCTTTTAACAATCTCACTACAACCGAATTAGAGCGAGAATGGGCAGTTAGCTTCATGTTTTTCTGAACAGAAGCGAGCAATTTGTTAAGCTTGCGCTTAAAACATTGACAGAACTAACCTGAAAAAAGTTATTAACTCATTCAAACCCGATAACATTACCTCGGCCAAAAATCGCCACTCTTGCTTGACGTTCTCCATGATCTCCTGGTTCCTCAATCTACAAGCCAAGTAAAGCAAGATGTCTTCGATTCTGTCCAGACGCATGTTAACTGTTTGTTCGTTCGCTTCGCTGTCTCCGATATCGGCTCTCGAGTTTCGCGACTCCTCGTTTGAGAAACCCGACGTTGTCAGGTTATTGTTTACTAAGTTCTCGCTAACTGACGGTGAGCCCATGAACATGCCTTGGTAGAGCATAGTATGAAGAGTTGACCTTCTTTGGATAAATGGGTTCTTGGTCTTAATTGAATCGCGTTTTCCCATCATTTTTCTGTCTTTACTTTTGTCTTGTTGGTAAAGTCTATATGGTAAGTTTTTGCTGTTGCTGTGACTTGCTTCATTTTGTGAGGCGTTGTTGGGGCTCACAGGAGGCGAAGAAGCTGTTCCGTTCCAGTAATTGCTCTCTTTAAACACTTTCTTCTCAAGTGCTTCGCTCTGAAATTAACCTCAATTAAGTGTCCACAATTCAGTTTGAGCATCTTGCGAGGATGGAGCTAAATTTTTCTGAATCTTTTAGTGAACATTTTTTATTTATGAGTACTTTTCAGCAATGGTGTGCGCAGAAATGTTTCTAGGGGGGGGCAGTTTTTCAAAAAAATTTTGAAAATTTTGCGGGCCTTTTTTCATAGGTCGATCAATTTGATTTTCCGAGCTCTCCGAAAATACTATAAGGACACTATTTTGTCAAAAACTTTCCGCAGGTAAAATTTTCAAAAAACAGGCCAAAAAAGACGTTTTCAGGCACTTTTTGGAAAATTTTGACCAAAAAATTGCGTTTTTTCGGCACCGCTCCCCCTCCCCTCAGCACGTGCAGCTTTTCAGCCATTAGTCAAAAATAGTAAATATAATTTCGTGGCGATCCCAACCAGGGGTGAATCTACTTTTTTCGCGAGGCATCGCCGATATATTTTTATCTTGATGGATTAAACTTTCCAGGCTCCAATTTAAAAAAATTATTGAACCAAAATCTTTTGGTTTGCAAAAAAATTTTGGGGAAAAAAATGTACAAGTGATTACCAAAAATTTCTAAATGAAAGTAGAGAAAAGCTAGTAAAGATTATCAAAAGAGTTTAAAAAAATACTCGGGGATATCTTTAACTATTTCCTCACCCTATGGTACCTAGTAACTAACTGCAACCCCTATAATGAACTAATTCAGCGGATAAACCTAGGTTAATTTTGTACCTAGTAACGGTTCTCCCCCGCCCTTTGCCAAGGGGTGGGGGGATAGATAAAGAGATGAGTACCTGGAACTGGTCGTTCATCTCTCGGTTGATTTCCGAGTCCTCGTCGTCCAGGTACTCTTTGTACTTTCCCAATAGGAGAAGGGGGGCCAATATGTCGAAGAAGAGTCTCTTGGCCCATTTGGGGAGGGTGGTGACATTACTGTTGGGGTGGTGCAGGTTCAACACACCCACAGTCAGCACCAGGGACATAGACACCATCGCTATGGTCATGATGAAATATTTTCCTAATCAAAGGAAAAAGGCTCTAACTAAGCATCATGTTTCCTTTGTAAATAGAAATGATTAACTATAGTTATCAACAACTACGCGAAAGCGTACTTCAAATAGAATTAAAAAGTTAATAGTAAAGCTGTTAAATCTAGTTACGAGCCAGTCACATTCTTCTACTCTAACCAATCAAAAACACATAACCAAATAAGAAAACAACTACTCTTGGGCTTATAAATTTTGTTAAATTCAATTTTTTACGCTAAAGAGGTTTTGGTATCACGCTAAAAACTATCACTGTCAGTGAACGCTTCGAAAACCAATTTTTATACCTGTCAAACTGAAAATCTAGACTTGTAAGTCACATCTTAAAAAACGAAACTGCAAAAGTTACGATTCAGAAACACCAACTCAATCTCAATTAAAAAACAGATAATTGTTTGTAACAGCGAAATCTGGGAAAAAATTGCTTATGCTTTTCCTCGATAAAACCACAGAATGGACCCTTTCGGCATTTTTTTGAAAACAAAAATATTTTCTCATTACAACTGGAACCAGTTTTAAACTAGAATTTATAATTAGTTATAAATATAATTCTCTAATTCTATAAAATATTCTTAACTAATCAATCATATATTGACGGCAAAAAACTTAGCACGTGTCTTGTTAAACAAGAAAAGAAAAAAAACAACAACTACTATTGCAACAATTGCAACTATAGCAACAATTGCAACTATTGCAACTATTGCAACTATTGCAACAATAGCAACTATCGCAACTATTGCAACTATTGCAACTATTGCAACAATAGCAACTATCGCAACTATTGCAACTATTGCAACTATTGCAACTATTGCAACTATTGCAACTATTGCAACTATTGCAACTATTGCAACTATTGCAACTATTGCAACTATTGCAACTATTGCAACTATTGCAACTATTGCAACTATTGAGGAGTTTGCCAACCCCGACACGAAATGATGAGGAGAAGCGACAGAGCGATAAGACCGCCGTCTTATTTTGGTTTTCGTGATCACTCGGAAGAAAATCCAAAAGAGGACACCGTTGCAGCGTCGCAGAGAGTTAGTGACGATGAACAAGAGGATTCATACAACGAAACCGTAGACAAAATAGAAAATGAAGAACAACATACTGGGGCGACTCAACAGCTTCGTGTTATGACCCTCAGTGAGCAAGACCATTATCCTGTCGTACCCATTACAGAAAACGTCACAAACTGTTTGTTTGACGCCTTTGGAGGGTCTCTCGACATATCTAAGGAAGTTCAAGAAACTGAATGAAGGAACAGATGGAATGTGAGTGTGAACCTCCAAGGCAAACTGTATTTAGTCCCGGGGGGAAACATTGGCCGTAAATACGTTGATCTTTTAACGAAAGAAGTCTGCCGATTGAACCAAAACGAATGTTCAGAACGACTTCTTGTATTCAGCCGATTAATCTTACAGCGGGACCCAATGATAAAAACCACACGTGATGTGAGAGCTTTGATAGGAAGACGACTTGAAGACTGGGAAAATAGTAAGTTCAATATTCTACTACAAGAAGCCAAACGATGTTCACAAAAACAACCGAGGAAACCTATGAAAAAAAACAGATCTGAAGACGAGCACACCGCAGTGGTTTTTGCACGAATGATGATGGAAGGGAAAGTTCGGTCTGCCATGCGTTGGCTGACAAGCAGATCTGGCGGAGGTCTGCTCCATCCAAATGACGAAGTTATTGATCCCACAACAAAAACAAGAAAATTAGTCATTGACATTCTGAAAGAGAAGCATCCCGTAGCAAAACAGTCAAAAGAAGAAGCAAGAATACAAGTAGACAGCTTGCCTGAGTTAGAAACAGTAACCATCACTTCTTCTTATATAGAAAAATTTGCGAGGTCAATGCACGGTGGAGCCGGACCTTCAGGAACAGATTCGGGACACTGGAAAGACGCATTTCTTCGATTTGGAGGACACAGTTCGGCTTTGAGAGACGAAGTGGCAGCGCTGATCACAACGATAGCTAACAAAATTATTCCATGGAACCAAATACGAGCATTGATGTCAGGTCATCTGATCGCTTTGGACAAGTGCCCCGGAGTTAGACCCATTGGCATAGGTGAGTGTTTGCAAAGAGTAATGTGTAAATGTATGGCCGAAGCGACCAAAAAAGAACTCGAAGAAACCTGTGGATCTCAACAACTAGCTTGTGGTGTGAAAGCAGGAATAGAAGGAGCTGTACACGCAGTGGAGGAGTTGTTCACGCAGTGGAGGAGAGGGCGGACATGGTCTTCTATTGATGGATGCCTTAAATGCATTCAATGCATTGAACAGGGAAACGGCTCTATGGAATGCTAGAATACTTTGGCCAAGGTGCTCACGATTTCTATTCAACACATATAGAGGGTATGCGCCGCTAATTGTTGCAGGAACGACAGAACTTCTTTTCAGTAGTGAAGGCACTACACAGGGTGATCCACTAGCGATGTTATTCTATGGGGTTTCAATGATGCCATTGATTGAATCACTCAAAGACCGAGATAAGTATTTACAAACATGGTATGCAGATGATTCGGGAGCTCTTGGCGCACTAGAAAACCTGGTTGAATGGTTGTCATCTTTGACTGAAAAAGGTCCGAAGTATGGCTATTACCCCGGGCCAAGCAAAAGTTATTTGGTTGTTCACCCGAACTTTGTTGAAAAAGCTCATCAATTGTTTGACAGGTTCGGCATCAGAATAGTTGAAGGTAGAAGATATTTGGGCGGATTTATTGGCCCTGATGAAGGCAAAATTCGTTTCACTACAAAAAAGGTCCAAGAATGGTTGGATTGTCTTAGCGAGTTGTCCAAAGTGGCAGAAAAAGAACCTCAAGCTGCTTTAGTTGGATTTACAAGATCACTGCAATGCGAATGGAATTTTGTCCAGAGTGTAGTCAAAGATACGTCGCAGTTGTTTGTTCCTCTCGAGAAGATGTTAGAGGAAAACTTTTTGCCAAGCTTACTAGGAATTTCTAGTGTCATACACTCAGATCGTGTTTTGTATTCACTTCCTGTCAAAAGAGGGGGACTAGGTGTACGAAATCCAATAGAAGGTTCCGAACTAGCATTTTCCACTTCACGTGAAGCAACCGACTGTCTCGTGAGTTCGATCCTTAACCAAGATGATTTCGACCAAACTCTACACAAAACAAAGATGAGAGAAGCAAGAAAAAATCACGAGGAGAAACAAAATGCTGTGGACAAAGATAAACTCGATGAATTGCTTGCAGTTTTACCAGCAGATCAGAAACGAGCGATCCGGAGAATAATCGACAACAACTGTTCCTTGTGGCTAACTTCGCTGCCCTTGTTGAAAGATAATTTTGATTTGTCAGCCACAGAGTTCAGAGACGCTCTATGTGTCAGGTACAGAAAACCACTCAAACGTTCTTTCTCGAGATGCGATGGATGTCAACTAGATTTTGACTTACAGCATGCACTTTCTTGCAAGAAGGGCGGACTGGTAACACTACGACACAACGAAATAAGAGACGCAGTGGGCGATCTTGCTTCAATTTTGTGGAAAGATGTGAAAAGAGAACCTGTCGTAAAAGAACCAGATATAGAAAATGGAACCCCGGCACTAATTGCAGATCTTTCAGCTCGTGGGGTTTGGGATAGACAGTCGGCTGCGTCGTTCGACATCCGTGTTACAGACACTGACGCTCCGTCTTATCAAAACCGCAATCCATGAATGTACTGAAAACTGTAGAGATTGAGAAGAAAAATAAGTATGGACCAGCTTGTGAAGAAAAACACATGTCTTTCACTCCACTTGTCAATTCAATAGATGGTGTTTTAGCACCGGAGTTCACGTTTTTCCTCAAACGACTAGCAGATGGTCTGGCATCAAAATGGGACCGCCCATATAGTCATGTCATGTGCTGGGTGAGATGTAGAATTTCATTCGCTATACTAAGAGCAACCAACATTTGCATCAAAGACACAAGATCCAGATGGCGATCCCTCGGCGTTGAGGACGGTTACACACTTGGAATGGCATTCTAAAAATTCACACGCTGTTAACTGGGGCTTTCATCGCGCATAACTGACTCCTATGATATTAGAATTTCGACACTATTTGCATAATATTTCGAAGAATATGAGATGTTTTAAGATAAAAACACAGAATGACAACTGTGAACAAGCAACGAAAAACTTTTCCTTGCACCATTCGAAACCAATTTATTTTGATTTTAATTTAAACTTACCGTTATCAATCATATATCATATTCCATAACTAACATTTACACTTATTTGTAAAGGCTGAAACTACTTGTAGTTTCAACACTAGAGCAATTCGAATAAACCACAAAAAAGTCGAATGACAAAACCAAACCAAAAGATTCGATTTTTGAGAAAAGGACACAACCGAAACAAAAAGAGGAAAAACAAGTGATAAAAACGAAACAAAAGGTTGAACACAAAAAGAGACTCTGCACAAAGAGACCTCAAAATTATACCCCACTCCTGGCCTCACCAACCAGAGGGACGTACTGAGCATGCTCTATAGCCGGCCTAACCCACCGCGCTACATCACGCTTTGTGACCCACACTCTATTTTAGCCAAGAGTTGCTCTAGGGTAAACGACTCTTTAAAAATAACCAAACTAATATAAAAACGCTTTTGCGATAACTATTATTACCAAATCATAATTAAAACTAAAATTAACAAAGAAATTTATATATGTAAAAGATAAATGCAGTATGTAAAGATTTCGTAAGCCCAAAAGACCAGCAGCAAAGGAGACGACAACCCAACCACATTCCAACTTCGGAATAGCAAATCTATTTGATTTGCTGCCTAAAGTCACAACCTCAAAGGATTTAAAGTATGCACCTAACATCGCACCAAAGGAAAACCATTGAACCAGACCAATGGCCATCTCGATGTTGACTACACGTACATATCCTAGTCACTTCGCACTTCACACGGAAAAGTCAAACTTCACCCTGCATGCAGTCTCGCTCCAAACTTAACGAAATCGATACATCATTGCATCGATCAGAAGTCTTGACACAATCGCACAAGACTACCACGATCAACGAGACTCATCTACAGATACGAACATGACAATCTTCTCCCGTCAAACACCAACAGTCACACTTCTTCTTCCCCGAGAAACCAATGCTCTCAACTTCTGAAAGAACATTCATCACCCGTCCTTCATTAAAACAATAAAATTTAAAAACTCTTTAAACCCCGGATGGGTGGAACCAGTTCCAAACTGGAATTAAAAATTGGTTATAAAAATAATTCTCTAATTCTATAAAATATTCTTAACTAACCAATCATATTCCATAACTAACGCTTAAACTTATTTGTAAATACTGAAACTATTTGTAGACTCAGCACCAGAGCAATTTGAATAAAACTTAGAATACAGTTGTTCTCCTTCTGGAAACTAACTCGCATAAACCAGTATACACTAGATCTATTGAGACTAGGAGATATAAGAGTAAGATTAAGATCGGTTTTAGACTAAGAAGTTGCACGAATCTATCCGGCCGAAAATAAGATAGCGCGACGAGCAGACGGTGTACCTTATCTGAAAGAACTCTATGAGTACAGTCAATCGTACATAACTCATAACTTAGCTATAAAAGATGTACCGCAGAAGATTTCGAAAGCTAAAAATGGTTGTTCAGAGACATTTTTTTCTACTACAACTAGCCTATAAAACTAGAACCGCAAAAAAGTGAAAACTTAATTTTGTTCACACCTAATATAGGAATGGTGAGCGAAGTTGCGGGCATGAGATTGGAGACGAAGAGCATGTTGACACAGAGGGAGAGGAGGACAGTGATGGCCAGACTGATCTTCTCCCCACTCTCGCAGGGGAGGAGGAAGTCGAGCAGGGCTATCCCAGATATCATCCCGGTCGGCAACATCAGGTTGAACTCATAGTACAACGGCTTCCTGAAGTAAATTTACAATCTGCTGGTAAAAGATTCTCTTCTAAAATGCGACGCTCGCGATTGTCTTTGATTGTTTATCGATTTTATCTAATAGTAGTTTGGAATGCTTAACTAATAATTATTATTATCTTAGAAAAGAAAGCTAATGTTCGGAAAGAGTATTTTTGTCTTCAATTCACACCGCCGTTGCTTACCAAACAACAAGTTCTATTTTACGTCAGGCTTCTGCATGTTCGATGTATCAAAATATATTTTTAAGGATTCCCTAATTTACTCTTGGTAGTTTAAAGGAGTTTTGAAACGTGTGAGAAATCCTTTGGCTTGTTTTTCAAAAATATTGCAATGAGCTTGTGGCAAGCACAAATTGTATAGCTTTTCTCTGAGGCTCAAACTGGGACAATTTAACTGAAATTGATCAATAATGATCGGACAAGTGTATAAAGGGGCAACCGAATTTGTGATAACGGGTTTGCTGATTGTTTGCTGACGAAAAATTGTTTGCTGACGAAATCCAGTTGTTTGGGTTTTTTTCATCAAAGTTTTGTCTCTGCAGCTGCGATCAGTTTTAGTTTAATTTACTTTAACTCAGTTAAGGCAAAATCGGATTTACCTTAATTTTTTCAGTTAAGCTTAAGTAAATTAAGCTAAAATTTATCTAAGTTTATTTTTTACCTTAAATCAGCTAAGGTGATTTCACCTACACATCTTTTGTGTGTATATTTTCTCAACCTGGATATGATGATTGAGAAGTGCAGTTCCTGAAAGCTGCCCTCTGAGTAAGTCATGGTGTGTATCTTAGCCCCTGTCTCATACACATCCCACTCCCCATTACGGGTGAAGTACTGCAGATCCACTTTGTTCCTGTCGTTCTTGATGTTCAGCATCGCTTTTAAATAGGTCCACGAGCCAACTACTATCGAGCAGTTTTGCGTATCGTAGGGGAAGTACCTTGGAAAAAACAGAAGACAGAAATGGCCAACTGCTGTACAAGCATCAAATAAAATTACAGCCGAATAAAATTAACTTCTTATCATTACTTTGGCGCTCAGCACTTTTTTTTAATTCAACAAATTTATTCAGTCCACGACTGCGGAATAAAAGAAACATAACAAAAACTCAGTGACTCACTTGACGTCTATGGGGCAGAAGGTGGTCCTGACTTCTGGCGAGTAGAAGCGGACAAAGCCCTTATAGTTCACATAGATAGGGATAGAAGTGTCTGTGTTACGCTCGAAGTTGTACACGCTAAAATCATTTGTATATCTTCTAACACCCATCAGGAAAACCGGAGACCATAAAACGTTGGTTCCGCTCAACTGATTCGAAGACATCTTTCTGGTAGAAAACATAGTCACCGTTTTATTCAGGGGCGGATCTAGGATTTTCTCGAGATGGGATTTTCGAAAATTTTTTCGATTTTTTTGAGGTCGACCGAATTGATTATTCGAGCTCTCCCTAGGCACGGTGTAGTCCCTGTTTTGGCCAAATTTTCTGCGCCGGAGAGGCAAAATTTGAAAAAACAATCCAAAAAAGGCGTTTTTAGGCACCTTTTGTGAAAGTTTGACCAAAAATCGCGTTTTTTCGGCGCGCGCTCCCCCCTCAAAATTAGTATATATTGGTGCCGAAGGCGCCTTTAGAAAAATTTTAGGGTAGGTCGGCCAAAAATGGATTTCTTAAAAAGTACCAAAGGGAAAACCCTTTGGGTCGGCAGGGGGTCGAATCTCTAAAAGAAAAAAAGCGTTTCGCCGCGCGCTCCCCAATAATTTGCTAAAAAGTTAACGTGAAAGGCGCTCCTGGAACAGTTTAATGGGTGGCTGGGCAAAAAGATGCGATATCATAAAACATAATCAAAACCCCCGTTTAGAGTGGTCACGTGGTCGAAATTAAGAAATTACAATTGTATTAGAATAACCTGGTTGAACACTACAATGTCTGGCAGCCATATCTGTCGGGGGTGCAGTCTGATCTCCTCCAACTCCCTGAGAAATTCTTGGGGTCCCACACCAGGTACTGGTCATACCACTCCTACACAACACACATACTTCAAGTGAAACAACCATCTCTATTCATGCACTTGCATAAAGACGTTCGTTATTAAAAAAAGAAAAAAATCAAATTGCTTTTGAAATGAACCTAAGAGGGACACCAGCACACTTCATCGCGAAAAAAAATATTATTTAATTTTGTAAAATTTATATTTAATTAAAATTTAAAATTTACTAAAATTGCTTTTAAAATAGGTACACTTACTGCTCTCTCCCACAGAAGCCACTTGGCCATCTCATTCTTGACATCCTGGACACAAAAATAGAACTGAACTTTTGAGAACGAGATCATTTATAGCGAGTTTAGACTGAGAACAAAGATGGAATGAAACACTTTTGAACATCTTCTTGACAAGCTTTTCTTGGACTCAAAGTGCCAAAAATACAATCTGACAATGTCTAAACTAGGTAAAGCATTAAATGACAGTACGCTATCAAATCTTTACTAGGA